GCTGTTATTTGCATTTACCAGCTCACCTATGTCAGACCTTTTGATAAACAAAATTCTAATGAAAGTGAGAACATGTACACTGTTACATCTTTCAGAAAATGTTTTGAAATTGTGGTGCACATTTCAGAATAAATGTTTTTCAAAAACCATTGCGTCTTTTTAATAAATGTTTATTTCCAAAAGAAATTTCTAGAAGTTCAGAACAGTAAAATTCCCGCTTTTTAGAATTAATTAGAAGATAACTCTTACGTAGTTAAACTAAAATACTCTTTGAGAGTTAATATATATAAACTCTTAACACCAAGTGTTAAATTATCAACTCCAGACAGATTTGGTGTTTAACACTAAATCAGAGTTAATGTACCAACTCTCCAAAAAGAGTTAAATTAACACTCTCTGGTGTGGACCCATAATAGACACTTTAATAGTGTTGAAATCAAATCTGACAGTGTTAATTTGGACATGCTGCATTTGCTGTGAGCTCTTGATGAAGGCTAGAACAAATCTACCTACAATTCATAGATGTGATAGATTTAATACACTTAATAATAGCTAATGTTCTGTTCTGTCCTAGTAAGCCATGGGAGTGAACCAGCACAGTGCTGTAACTGAGAACTTCAGTCTTTTATCTGTGAAGAGATTGTATAAAAACACACATCATCCTGAATATAGCATAAAAAATAAGAAGAAAAGGAGCAGTGAACCTTTTCATAGATCTCCTTCAAGAACTGGATCTCCTGCTCCAGCAGTCCAGTGCGTTTCTTCTGAAACTCACAGTCCAGCTCAGCCTTAACCTTCTCCTGCAAAATTAAAAGCATTTATTTTAATGAAATATCATTACATCATGCATATTTTAAACGACTCTCCATTTTGCTACTCCAATTCCTGTAAAACTGGGGTGTCATGTGCCTATGACCCAGGGACCAAATTACAGGCCAAACAAATGCAGTCCATAGGATGGCTTTGAAAAATGTGACATTAAATTACAAACAAAGAGGGTATGTGTTTTGAGCGTTGTCCTGTTTTTTGGCTGTTTACAGCCTTTTTGCTGACAAAGACATCACCCATAGTTTGCCATACAACACCAAAGTAATTAAAGGATTAAACAGAACCAAAGATGAGCTTTATATTATTTATCAATTATTTTCTTTTTCAGTTTTAGTATTCCATCAAACAACAGAAAACTATAGATGAACCAATTAATATTTAAACAAATGTTTGAGTGGCTCCATCCCTGCTAATAACAATAAAAAGATAAAATTATTGGAGATTACAAATTACCTTTATAATCGTATCTAACTGTTCTTCTGCACTTATTCTTCTTTTTTTCTCAGCTTCCAACCTGGATGCCAGTAAGATACACAGATGGGTTTTAGACAGAAAACCTTTGATGAGCAACTGGTTTCATTCAAGCCAGTGTACTAGTGGTGCTGGTCTGGATAAATGGGAAGGGTTGCATAAGGAAGGGCACTGGCACAAAATATTTGTGAAATCAAACAGCAAGAATGTGATTTTTGTATTGAACTGCTGATCTGGCCTCGAGTTGACAACAAACACCTCCAGTGTGCCAACAGAGTGCCAGTGGAAACTATTCTGCTCTTGGCCAAAGACAAAAGAAGAGGAGAGGTGGAAGGCATGTTAGGAGAGAGAGATATATCACGAGACAGAACTCAGGAAATAATTTGCGGTTTTAGTTATTTAAGTCAAAAACAGTTCTACATTTACTATTTTACATGCGAGTGTTTAAGTAAGAATAGGCCAATACTAGTTAATCTCCAGCAAGATGTTGACTGTCTATGGATCCAAAACAGGTTTTGAATTTATCAGTGAAAAAATAACAATATACATAATAATAATCACATTATCAATATAAAGATTCACAAACGTAATGTTTTAACATTCTACTGATGAAACCGGCACATATTAAAAAAAAATGCACACTAAGCCCCTTTTTGCCCCTTCCCACCTCAATGTTAAGGTTTTCTGCTCGCTGATTATGTCCTCCTTGTCTTCTTCACGCACCATGCTCAACAGCTCGTTCATCTTCTCCTCAACTATGTCATGGATGGACTCATTGTGCTCCTGATAATTCACCTGATTATTGACCTTCTCGATGTAGCGGGCAAAGAGGCTATTCAGTAACTGCAGCTCTTTCTTCTCCATCGCCATGTTTGCAGAAGAGCACTCAGTGACTTTGTGGGAAGCAAAGCCTGGGCAGTAAGAGGATGCAGTGCTGAAGAAATGCTGGAGCTCACAGAAAGCCTGGTGAGAGCTGCAACTGAAGCAGAACCTGCTTGTCCATTTATTTGTAGGTACCTCCCCCTTCACTTTTTACCCCCTCCTCCCTGAGAAATGTCCTTCCTGATCCTCCCACTGACTCTCTCTTTCTTCCTCCTTTAGCTTATCATTTTAAATTCTTCATCTTTTTACATCACCTTTCAATTCTCTCTTCCTCTTCTAGTATTTTCTTCAACTTCCCTTTTCACCCTATTTCTACCCCTTCCTTTTTCTCCCTCTGTTACACTCCCCCATTCTCCAGTTATTGTGCTCTTTTTCTTAACTACCTAAGAGCGTTCATTTTCTTGCAACTACAATTTTTTTGGATTATAGTTGGATACTGGAGGAAAACAAGACAAATTGTGGATCAAATAAGGCAAAACAACAATAAGCGTGTTCACAAGAAGTGCACAGAGACACTAATCACACAGGTACACCATTAGTTGTAACTAACAACAAGCATTGTAGCTTCTCGTGGTATGTGCTTCAAAATATAAGTCCATCAATGCAAACATTTATTGTCAATTGATAAAAACACAAAAATTATATTTTTGGTGATTTTGGGTAGTTGGTTCCACATTGAAAATAAATAAAAGTGAACGGCATGTACAAAATTTATGCTAAAGGGAGGGAAGGAAGGGTATGCAAGAGTCAGTAAGCAGTGACTTGGGAGTGGGACCAAGTTGGCAAATCACCTAGGAGTTAAGGATCTGGAAGCAAAGCTGAACAATAGCTTAGAGTAGACCTTCCTACTGAGGTTTCACTATCTCACTACCAGTGATGGATGACTTGACCTCTCGTTTCCACATTCTGCTTCGTCTACAGGAGACATACCAGAGGGATTGACGAGCTCTTTGAAATATTCCTTATAGCTGTATCCTCAGTTGAAGTCATCCCCACGCTTCCAGGTTAACAACAGTCTTGTTCCATGGCCTCACTGAACTCCTCCCACACCTTGGGCCTATCTCAGCTACCATAGGGCAAGAGGCGAGATAAACCCCGGACAGGTCATCAGTCTGTCACAGGGCTACCACAGAGTGACAGACAACAATTCACAATCACACATACCACCCAAAGTTTGAACCCACAAAAGACATGATGAGAATATCCAAACTCCACTATGTGCGATATCCATCTTTTCTGGCTATAATCCACCACCTCAGGGATAATGATGCTTTCCCAAGTCAGGGCAGGAATGTAATCTGTCCAGTGTGCCCCTGGTCTGGCAGTTTGACTTGCTCAAACCAGCTCAATTGGATCCTTGCAATGTGGAGGAATAGACTATGAATATACTAACTTTTTCTCTTGATGAAATCATCATTGAGAAAAAACTGCATTTTGTATTTACTTGAGTTATCTTTGTCTATTTTTTAATGATCTGAAACATGTACATGTGACAAATATGTAAAAAACAAATGTAGGTTTGAATGTAGATCAACCAATAAATAGGCAGCCTGACTTTTAGGCCTGTTGTGCCTGTACAGCATCCTCCCACACATCCTGAACCAAATCACTTCTAGTTGGTGACCAGCTGACAGCTCAGCTTCTCTCTTTACCTGAGTTACCTTAGTCTTGTCCACGGTCTAATTTATTTGAGTTCAGGGCCATGCAGAGATGTTTGAAGGGGCGGGTGCTCAAAGTTAAAAAGGGGCACACAGAACCAGGCAGAATAACAACTCACCACATTCATCAAGAATCTAATATGGAATCACATCATACTATCACGTCCACAGGACAGATGGTATCTAATTAAACAAGTGTTATGAGATAATAAAATGCGAAGATCGGTGACAGCACTCGCATGACCCTCTTGGGGACACTCCCATAGGGCTTAAAATCTGGGACTCTGCACCAGTTGCTCTTAGAACTGAAGAATCTTCTCGGATAAGAGGTGAAACGTCTTCAAGAAACCTAAAGAAGTCCTGAAGCTTTTCTTTCCAAGCTCCTTAGATTGTTGTACAGGAAGGACTCCACATGCATACACAATTTTTTTTATATTGCCTCATCAAAAAGGGCACTAGGGACACCCATCAGGAAAGGGGCAGGTGCTCAAGGCCCCTCTACCCCACCCCACCCCTGCACTTGCTTGTTTGAGTTCCTAACATGAATGAGTCTGCATCACACCCAGTGACAGTGAGGACCTGTGTGGTGGGGCGTGGCCTGCAGTGCTGTGCAGGGAGGGCGGACGCACCTGCACGGCATCCTTAATCACGTCCGCCAAGTTAAAAACATGAGGACTCAGGGGTTGCGGGGTTGTGGTGTGAGGTGTTGTAAATAAAATGGCTCAAAACGCTGATCCCTGGACCCGCCGTGCCTTATTCACACCACAC